CAGTGATTTTGATTGGCTAAAATCTGTTTCTAAGAATACATAGGAAAAAAATCGTAGTGTTTTTATGGAAAATGAGACGTAAACAAATTTTATTTATTCACTGCAATAATATATAGACATCGGAATTGAATTTTGGAATTCAATGGAATTGAACCCACTCATCTTTTAATTTTGCTCTCTGTCCGGGATTAGCACATACATGTACCATTTCATGGTGTAATTCGACTTTTCCACTCGGCGAGCAGAGTTTCGACGTTGTTTACGGAGTAAAAAGAAAATAAAGACAAGCATGCCATGTATGGTTGTTTAGGTAATTTATCGTAGAAGACAATGATAAACAGTTTGCCAGTGCATTTCCTCTGAAAGTGTAAAAGAGTGCGATTCTGGGGAGGGGGGTACTCCATGTAATTCGGAGCTGGATACCTTGTGTTATTATCATACCATGGGTTAAAAAAATATTACCGAAACAAGTGCCTGTGGCATTGTCACACATAACGAAAACCATCCTTTTAGACAAAATCTATTTACAATTTCATTTTATGGCAAAATCAGATGTTACTGAAGTTGTTCAAAATTTTAAGGATGTTACTTAGTCTGTCCTTCATGCCCTTATTCTTATGTTTCTCTTTCATCCTCTGATTTGGTATCATATGTACTTGTACCTCTGGATAGTTTGTGTACTCTGAAATATCTGTCATTGTCCTCAAGCACGTTTCAAATGGTTTTGAAAGAATAATTGAACTTGATATCAATTCATTCATTTAGATGAAAGATGCAACACGATTTTTATATTGGTTTTAAATTGTATATGAATGACGTAACATTTATTTGTTGTATGTGCAGCTAAATACATCTACCTCCTTCATTACGTTTTTTAGAGACACTTCTGTTTGCTTGTTCAGTCCTATAATTGTCTCTCAGAGCCCTATAAATGTGTAAAGAGACTAAACGTTGAAAAAAATCAAAACATGACCATTTTATGACGTCATTATGAAAGAAAAAGAATTTGAATTTTCCTATAGACATACCATGCTTAAAGGGGTAGTCATTTTAGGGCACTAGAAGCTACATGAATGATACCCACACTTCCTGTGCACATACTATATACTTTACATGATCAGGGGTTCATAAGAGAAAAATAAACACAACAAGATGTTTTATTTAAGCACCCTTCCACAACTCTAACCTTCTTGATGACCTAATGATATTGTTCACTTGACCTTGAATCTCAAATTAATGTCAGGGGCAATAGCGTTTTTTAAAAGCTGGAATAACCCATTGAAAGGTTTAAAACTTATATAGCGTAGATATGACTACGTGAACAACATACTAAACTTTTAATTCATTGTAATAGGGTCTGGAGATCGAGTTACGGTTCTGACATTTCACAATCTCATTGCTTGGTGACCTTGAGGGGGTGGAGGACATTATCATTTATAAATACATGGAAAATTGTTATAATAAACTTGTTTGACCTTTTTAACATTTTGTTATTACATAATTTGTATATCTAATAATATTACTCAGCAAAACTCTCAGAATGAGTTCATCATCACAATCTGATATAATATAAAAGAGAATTAGAAACATTGTTGGAAACAATTTTTGTCCAATGAATTTACTTTCCTTTGTATTTATCAGTGATCAGTATCAAAAACATGTCCGTCTGAAAAAAAAAAAAACAAACGAACTTCCTTTTTTTCTTGGCGCGACTCCATAACATCTTCATTTCAATCATACACCAAGAAATGTAAATATATCATAATTTGCGACAAAGTTTTTTCTGCAGACGAAGAAACTTAATAGTCTTGTCGCAGTGGGAGGACTATTTAGCTGTGCTTCAGTTTCCGCCACGCTATTAGTTGTAAGCGTTTTGATCCTTTGCAAGACACGCGATATCCGGTCCTGTCAGTAACAACGCGTTCTCCATGGCGGTCTCCGTCGGACATAATCTTGACATATTCATTTACGGACCCTGGCTCTACGTGGTACAACTGTGCAGATATTTTAATACAAATTCGGTATCTTTCTGCAACGTAAATTACATCTAAATTTTCTTCTACCAATTATTTATGAATTTAATAGCATAGTAATACCTTTTTAAACTGGCTTCATAGAACCTTTGAAGGCAAGAAAGGGGTGGATCTACACATGTAACAATCTTGCAATCTTGTTAATTAATTCAACCAGGTGTGAATTATTTTATTTAATAAAGAGTGATCAATTTACCTGTTCGGAACTTATCAGTTGGGCTCTCATATTTCAGTCGATTCCCACGGACGCTAAATAACCGTTGTTCCCTTGCCAATTCACACCATATTAACGTTCCATTATAAATTGATGATATGTATCTGCCAAACATTGTAGTCACTCAGTAAGGGGTAAATGGTGCTAAAAAGAGTATAATAGAAATTGTTCGCAGTTTTTACCGCGGTAAATGTCAAACATTCTACTAGGTTTCATCTTTATTAATGGATATACTATTTTCTAAGATATATACATAAATTGCATTATAAAGAATCCATCCTCTAATATCACGAGCCAAAATAATATTAAGAACCCCCCACACATCATCTGGAGAAATCAAATCATAAGTCCATACGTAAATAAGTCCTATAGGGAATCAGTATTAATCTGCTGTAAAATTTTGTAATTTGTATGTATATTTTTTCTTTCCAATTACTGAAAAATGAACTTTTCATATGATTATTCCAATAAAAACCCCACATATTTTCTGCATATGAAACATTTCATGTCTATTTTGTTTTTATTTCTGCTTTTCTTATTATCATGCATGTCAATCAGTATAGTGTTTGTGTGCCAGGCATCGTTTTACTTTATGCAAGTGGAACATGTGTAAACTTTGTCCTAAAACTGTACTTTTTATCATTTATTTATCAATATTTATTTTCTTATTTACTCATTTTATTTTTTTACAGTTCTTTTATAAATTAAATGTTTTAATAATAATCTACTTAATTTTTTTCTTTCTTTATTGATCTTTCATTATTTAGCTCCCTCACAAAAATAATGTATGGACGCGCTAACATTTATAAACAACATTACCAAATTTCTGTTAAAATTTCTTTTTTAATATATATATATATATATATATATATATATATATATATATATATATATATATATATATATATATATATATATATATATATATATATATATATATATATATATATATATTAAAAAATATTAATTAGGAAAACGTTTGTTTATTTATCGATATTCTGTCTAGTAATCTAGTAAAAGATGCATAAGCATTGTTAATTGTTCGTATACATCGTGAAAAGATGTATCTACTCTTGTATATTTACGTGTAATAATATTAAACAGCACAACTATCGATACAATTAATAAAGAAAATTATTTGTACATCATCAAGAGAGCCAAATAACAGTACACCCCATTTCTTTGTTGGGTATACTCTAGACATTGTTTAAAAAATGAATATTTTTTGTATCGATTTCCACAAAGTTACAGGACGATTCTTCTCAGAGAAAATGATTAATATGAAGATCTACATTCAAATTACAAGCATTGTTTTTAAGTTCACTTTCTTAAATTAAATTTCACCTTATATTTTGCAAAATTAAATAGTTTAGTACATTATAGGTGTTTTTTTTTATAATTAATTTATTAAGGTTGTATTTTTTTTATATCATCAAACTTTCATCGTTGAAAAGAATTCAGCTGTTCGTAGAAGGGGAATTTAGTGTTGGGTTTCTTAAATTGTAACTACATGTAGACAAGTTCAGTCATTTTATAAGGGTGATTAGTACTATAATTAGGGATGTAAGACCATAATTGTCTAATTTAACAGAATAAGCTTCTCGGAGATAAGGTTTCCCATCCCAGTTCACAATAAAGTTTATTCCTAACCGAATTACATCCTAACCTGTAATAATTCTGGTAGCTTCTATATGAATATCTGTTATGAATCATTCCAAACAGCACCTGCATGTTTATATGTACATGTCCTGTATGTAAAAGGTATTTGTTTTAACAGATTCCCTAGTTATTGTGTGTCGGAGCAGTCTATGTACTGAGTAACCAAAGAAAAAAATCAGGTTCTTCAGTACAAAAAGGAAAAATGTTTTGCATGTAAGAAATAAAATAAGTATTTATTATTTATGTAATTCCTCAAATCAGATTGATGAATATTTGAAATTATATTAAGGAAGCTAGCAGCGTGTAAATATATGCTAAGAGATTTCCTAAATCAGTCAAATGATCGATAATAAACGCGTTATAAACCACCGGGTTTTATCAAACTATACATATACATGTATATGTGATATAGAGCAGAATTAGAATAAAATGCAAAAATACCGGTACATATTTTGTAAAAATCACATATACTAAGGTATTTAACAACTGTTTGCACAGTATGCAGCCATACCTAAACTGCTTAAGTATTCCTTTGAATTTTTTGCTGTGTTCGAGGAAGTGAGGCGTTTCCTTTTTATCTATTATAATTTATCGGATTGTACACCCATAGTGAACAATCGTTACGTTACGGCCACCTGATTGACGGACAAATATGATTGACAGCCCGATCTTAATGCTTTGCAGCGGGAGATAATTTTCCACCAATCAAATGGCCGTTACGCCAAGAGCAAACGGATTCAACCTGATAAAATTTATAACAAATTTTGTTACAAGAAAATAAAAATGATAAAACCCAGTGAAGAAAAGATCGGGAACCTCCCCCTTGATTTGTGTGTTTAATGATGTTGACATATCTCCAAGAATCATTGAGTTGTCAATTTAAAAACCTAAGGAGAGCGTATGACATATGTGTATTAATCCTATGTCTTCTTGGATAAAACCCCCGTATGATACTGCCTATCACACTAATACAGAAAAACACCATCGACAGAGAAAGGAACGAAACAGACAGTATATTTTCTGAAGTACTTCCGTAATGACTTCTTGACATTTTGCTAATTTATATTCTGATCATTGAATTTAATCTTTTTGGATTTAACAATCAAGTGAGAAGAGTTATTTGTTAAAGAGACAAAATGTTTGCTCTTCCGACTTTGCATTTTACACCACAACAAGTGGCACAAGTTTGTGAGACGCTGGAAGAAAGTGGAGATATTGAGCGCTTAGGACGCTTTCTGTGGTCTTTGCCTGTTAACCCTTCTGCCTGTGAAGCTTTGAACAAACATGAATCAGTTTTGAGAGCCCGAGCACTTGTTTCTTTCCACACAGGAAATTACAGAGACCTTTATCATATTCTTGAGCATCATAAATTCACCAAAGAGTCCCATGCCAAATTACAGGCGATGTGGCTGGAAGCCCATTACCAGGAAGCCGAAAAACTTCGCGGACGACCCTTGGGTCCCGTGGACAAATATCGAGTTAGGAAGAAGTTCCCCCTTCCCAGAACAATTTGGGACGGGGAACAAAAAACACATTGCTTCAAAGAGAGAACCCGTAACCTTCTAAGGGAGTGGTACCTCCAAGACCCTTACCCCAACCCAACCAAGAAACGGGAGCTGGCAACAGCAACTGGGCTGACGCCTACTCAAGTTGGCAACTGGTTCAAGAATCGGCGACAGAGAGACAGAGCCGCTGCGGCTAAAAATCGGTAAATTATATTTCCTATGCGCACATAAATCTTAGATTAACTTTTTGATTAAGAAGTATTAACCTCAAAAAGTGAAACTCTTAGACAATATTCCATCATACGGTAGAATTAAAATTTCCTTGTCTGAAAAGTTAACAAACTGCTACACTCATTTGAAACACTGCATCAAAAATATTCCTAGGCATAGACTCTGAAACGAATTTTAATAATAAATGATTGTAAAGTACTTTTTGAAAGATATAAAAAAAAAAAAAAAAACTTTTGAGCAGGATTTCTCTAGGAAAATTTAAATGATTTTTTTACATGTACTTTTTACACCCTTTAGTGATGTTCTTTTTATACTCCGCAATTACTCATCTGATCAAAAAAGAAAAAATAAAAATAATAAAAAGCTAAATAATAATAATCATTTTTAAAAATAAACAAAACAACAACAAAGTCGTTAGTATTTATTTATATTAACATACAAATATATGTGAAACTTGTTACCTACGATTTAATATCTATCTTTTTACTTTTAAAAGTGAAAATATAATCATACATGTAAATTTTTAATTATATTTATCAATTTTAATTTAATGCAAAATTACTTCTTAAAAAAATTTGGAAAAAAATTGTAAATTGTATATTCCAAATTTAGATACACCATATAAGATAATAAATTTATTGTTGAAATAAAAGCAAATCATGTAGGGTCCTCTGTTTGAAGGACCTAGCACGTGTTGACAATAGAGTAATTTATTTGCAACACTTTTTACTTGGATAGATTTGTCATACGAATAGATACAAGATTACATTCACGATAATACAAATATTTCACACTTTCTAAAACGAGATCAGTGGCTAGTATTTGAACTTCAGCGTCACTTACATAATTATCAAGAACTAATATATCCCACGGCCTTTTTTTATCGACCAATAAGTGTTGAAAGAGATTTTCTCCGCATTGGAGGAATTGCGTCTTTATCCTCAAATATTTTTTCTTGTCAAGATGTTAAACTCGATGACCAGTTATGGCCTTAAGATATCCATATCATAAAAATCATTTTCAGAGTGATTAGTCAAATAAATATATTTTATCATATCTGATTCACAAAACATAGTCAAACCTTGTTATTTTTTCATTTTTCGAAAGAAAAAAATCCGTTTTCTGCTTCCTCAGCTCATTACCAAACAGATTGTTCCTGACTTAATTTGGATTAGTTTTTTTCCTTTTTCGTTGATTTTGGGGATATATTATGTTTTTCGGTATTAGTATATTACAATATTTTTTTTTCAACCAGTTATTTTTAAAAAAAAATTATGGTAGTTATTCTTGATGTTTTTAAGATATTTTTTTATGTTTTGAATTTTGATAATTAATGAAAACAGATCGTGAAGAAATATAGACAGGGTACTTACTTTATTTCAAATAAGTCCCATGAACAAGTGCGTTTACAAACTTGTGAAATCTTGTACTTCTTAATTCTTTACCAGAATCAATATTTATAATTCGTCTTACTTACCGAAAATTTAAATATCGAAATTAAACAAATAAAGGAATAATTCCCAATTAGATATACTACCGTTTAAATGTATAACAAATCTAATAAAAGTTGCCACCCAATCAAATATTTTAAACTTTTTAAGCCGAAATTAAACTGAAAAATATTTTCACTTACAGGTAACGAAATTGCTTGGCAAATTTGAGCATTTTTGTTCAGTTTTGGGGATTAGTTGTTTCTTTGTGGGGAGTTTCTACTGAACAAACTCGGGCTTCTTTCTGAGGTTGACATTGTATTTATATATTTGTTTTTTCGGAGTATTAAGGCCGTTATGTCATGATAGCCTCCTTAGATCAATTTTGAGATCGCTTCTAAATGGAATTTGATCCTAAATTGTTAAAATAAGTAAAGAAAGAGCGTTTCTATTTTAAATATGTATTACATTTACTTCAACATCGGAATAAGAGGAGTTAGTTTTCACTTATATATATCATCAATGTCAGGGATAAAATTAACATACAGTTTTGTTATGGTGATGTTTTAAAAACCAGTTATATCAAGATAGTATTTTACTTGATTTTTACATATTTTAGCAAAACAAGAGTATGAAACAATGAGATTTTATTTTCTCTTTTGGTACCATATCTAAATCCTAATGTTACCTTTGACACATAGACACAAAATCCAACCTATCAAAACGTACAAAAGCAAATATTGAGGGAATCTCTGATAAACATAAATTACATTTTTATAAACGTAGTAAACAACGTTCAAAAGTCAATTACTTGTAATTTTAATGCTTTTAACATTGAAATAGATTATCATATTATTTACAAAAATTGTTCAAAAACATTAAGGACTTTATTTAAATTTTTAAAAAAACCTGTGTCAAAATGCGTCATATTCTAAAATCTAGATAATTTAAGAAAAAATGAGGAAAGACAATAGTTTAAGCAAAAATAATCCTGTTTATTTATTAGTTAAAAATTTAGATTATTTATTTTTTCATTTTCAAATTTAGATTATCATATTATTATTATTATTACTCCTGGAAACTATATTGTATGTTAAGTTGAATCGAAGAAAAATACCACAGTCTTTTTCTTATAATATATGCTCTAACGATCTTGGTAAATTTATAGGAGGAGAGGGAAGGGACATGCACCCCCCCCCCTCCCCCCAAAAAAAAAAATCATCATAAATTGTAAAGATTTAAGACACAATCTATTTTATTTTTATTAAATAATGGCATGATTTATCATTAAATAGTAGGACTGAGGAAAAGTGACGGTGAAACAAACGAGATGAATCTTTAAAATATTTTCGAATCTTTTATAAAATGTAAAGAGAAGTTTTCAATTTGGACGATCTTGCAGAAAATGTCACAAACTGTGCGTGTTAGGATGATGTCATTTTTGTATGACTGAATATAAAACCTGAAAATTGACGGAGTATTTGTCATCTTGAAAGTACAAAGAATAAAACTGTTTTGTTTGATCTTCTGATATTTGTCTGGATTATATACTCTTGAATACTACAATATGTACAGACTTCTAGATCGAGTCCTTCTGAAATGAATCAGTTTATGAAGGATTAATCATAAGCCTAGACCAAATGTCCTCATAGAGTCGTATTCTTTGTGGACGAATTTTTTCACGTCCGTCCACGTTTCAAATGATCAATATTTACCCCCACTGTGAAGAAGATATAATGGCCTTGAATGGAACAATTTTAGAGAATTAAGTCATTAATACTAGGAGCCTAAATATATGAACTGGAATTCTTATAAAGTTAAGAAATATCTTGTGTGTCGGTCACGTCCCTTTTTCTTCGATATGACATTTGGCTTTCATTTCTGTCGGCGTATGGATGGATCGTCGTTCAATTTGGTATTGTGATTATAGATACTATTGTGTATAAAATTATATACACCTGTCCTGGGAGCCTAATACTTTGCTTGTATTCATATTTATTTGATAAGAAATTCACCTTTTCTTTATGCCCTTGTTTACATCTCGCACCTGCTATCAATATTTTAAAGTAGAAAATCGTAATCGGTTTCAGAGATTCCGATGTTGAGAGGAAAGCCTCGCTCTTTTTCCTCTTGTTCTTATGCAAGAAAGAGAGGTTTGATTCTAACCGAAGAGATTAGCACGTATTTTGTAGTGTTAAGATATTCCTAAATATATTAACTTCTCTATCAGCTGACACGAGCTCATAGTTCGAATCCCGAGTTTATCCTCTTAACTAAGTAAACTGAAAACGAATCGATCTTCCTTGATAAAACTCTATCTCTTTAGACACAAATTATCAGCGACTATGGGATAATGGACCACTGCTAGTCTTGTTTCGCGTATTTATGTAATGGTATTTGTTTACTTCTCGCACAATAGATTAGATAGTAAAATCCGTGTAAAACAAACCCAGGGATAATACTCAGATAGCATGTTTTCAAATAGGATATGTTCCTCACGGGAAGTCCTCAATATTGTCGAAATAAATTGATTGTCCGAAATATTTTTGTGCTGATATTGGCAATATACCATTGGTCCGAATTCCAGAATCAAGTATTTACCCTCTCATGCTCATAACTAATTTCTCCTTTATAATGATGTTTTTCTTTTTTTAATTTACAGTACAAGAAAATACTAAGTATTGAACATAACTAATAGGTCTTGAGCCAAAAGTGTTCATAAAAATAAAAATTGGGCGATATATTTAATCCGATTAAATGAGCCTACTCTAAACAGATCAACAAATCAAATTAATAGTTATTGTCTTTTTAATGAATTTAAAGTATACTTTTTCCTCCTCACTAACGCGATTGTTTTATAACATCAATATTAACATCTAGACTGTTTATTTGAATTAATGTAAACCAACTCACAGAAGAAATCCTACATGATCGTCAGTAGAATTATTTTTAAATATGATTATATCGATGTTGAGCTGAATTTGAGATCAATTCCTTTTGATACCCTTGAATTAAACACCACCCAATTTAATGATGACATTATCGAAAAATGATTTATTCAATTGAATTTAAAAGGATCATATCTGGATTAAATTGCACATAATATTAAAACTGAAAATGAGCCTCTAGAATCAGATATGTCCGGGGCTGTTACATTCAATTAGTCCGTCTGAATCCGCAAATGGTCACGTGACCTAATCATCGTCACAGGTCACCCACGATGCGGTGTCATTCGGTGAAGCAGTTCGCCGATTCTATACTTATCAAGCCTTAACAAGCGAAACTCGTCAACACCCTGTTTGACAGCTAAAAGAGAACTTGTTTACTTTTTTTCAAATCAATTGGAATGAAATTGTTAACTGCTTGGTTGGAATCTATTCATAAAAATCGCATTGCTTCATTCAGAGTGTCAAAATTTTCTTTTCAGATCAATTTCCAGAGTAAATATGCTGATCTTGAGAAAAATATTAGAATAACGATTAGAACTTTGTTATTAAATCTCCCGGGAAAAAAGCCTTTGCATTTATGGTAACATTTTTTTATCCTGTCGGTGATTTTTCTCGGAAAAATAGTGCCGATGTTAGATATGCAAATTTTTAACTACTAATCTAATTTACTTAACATTATTAAAGTTTTGAATTGTCTAGTGAACATTTTGTTTAAATTACTGATCGTGTTTCATTCAAAATTTAAATTTATTTTTATTTCCTTCTGCATTAATAAGTTTTACTGCAACAATATAACAGTTTTGGATATCAACAAGGTAATGCTAGTAGGTGGCTATTAAAATGATCAATATATTTCTTAAATATTTTATTTTATTTATTTATCTCCGTTGTAAAATAACCCCCCCCCCCAAAAAAAAACTTTAAAAACTTCTTGTAATCATAAAATCAACCCTTCTGTAGTTGATTTATCGTAAGATGCATTTTTTAACCTCAAAGTGATAAGATTCGTATATATATGTCTTCAGATAGGTACATGCATAGTCAATGCTTGTATTTTTTTTCCTTCATAACCTAAACTCTATCATAAAATTATTATAGTTAACTATGGTACATACTTTAACACTTTGATTTACTCTAGAACATTCTTGGAGATTGAGAGCCATGCTATCTTTTAGACTCCATTCCAATGATGAAAATTTCGGAAATATGTTTTATATTCTCGTAATATTTCCTTTCATATCAAAAGTTTGCATGAAAGAACTGAAGAAAATGAAATATAAAATATGAAATTCATAGTAAAAATACTTTGATTTACTGTAGCAAAAACTTGAACTTTAGTAAAAAAAAAAAAAAAAAGTACTGATCGTTTACCCGTTTACCAGCTACTACTAATATGTCTACTCCGTCAACAAGCACATGTATATGCATTTAAATTTCTATGTTGCAATCTAAAATAAATTCGTTATGTCATGCCTATTCATTAAATATTAAAAATGATGATGATGACGATGTTACATGTAAGTAATGTATTATATGCATGAACCATAACCTTAAATATGGAAATTTAAGAAGTATATTTTTACGGTCTATAAACTTTTGCCAAATTCCCAAAAATATTTGTCTTCAAACTAATTACTTTTTTTAAAAAAGATTAATATTAGATCGTTTCTTTTTGTTGATTTTAAAATGGGGGGGGGGGTTTCTTTACTGGCATTATCAGGTACCAATTAACAATGCTCATTTGTATTTGGAATCGTTAAATTTTATTGAATATTTAAATTTTTCAGTGTTTAAAATGTAAGGTGTTTTATTTTTACCACCATAGGCAAAAATAAAACAACGCAAAAATCCAGAATTACAGTAACATTCTTAAGGAACACAAAAAAAGATTTTTAATATTCTGCAGCAAATAATGAAATTAAAATGATTCTTTGGCGTACTGATTTATATACGAGTACTTAACCACATAGAATAAACATAGAATTAAACAGAGTATTTTTTTTTATTTGATGCATATGGATTGTAAAATAATGTACAACATTTATATTCAACTTTTAATTTTTTTTTCCTGATTTTGTAGTCTTCAGAGCCAGCAGAGCGGAGATAAACTTAATTGTTTAGGAGCCTCATCGCCAACAATTACTTCATTCGACGATGATGAAAAAATTGATGTTGACGTCGATGACGATGATGATGATTTCGATAATTTGGATGATTCTCGCAGCAGCACGAGTTCTCCAAACTCCCAAGTCTCCGCACAAAGCCCGCACAGCCAGATGAAATTGTCACCTACGTAATGGGTCAAAACTGTTATCGACATATACTGCTAATCGGGATTCTGGGTCGATACTGACGATGATCGATCGCCGATATGATTTCAGCATATGAAAAACGATTGATAGATCGACTCTTGCCATCTCTGGATGTTGTTTTTGTTAACATTTCATTGGCCTCGCGGTAGTGGGTTTACATTGCTTTTGTTTTCTGTTATTTTATTATGATGAAGTTTCCTGTGCATTATTCCCTCATTAAGTGGTTGTCTTGAGTATTTTCTTGTACTAAAGTGCTGACTTAATGTATTTTTAAAGATTATATTACTTTATCTATAGAATCTTTCATTTTGCAAAGAAAAGTCTTACAACATCAAAAAAAAATCATTAATAAAAAAGTTATAGCACTCAGATTTTTTTTTAAAGTTATTATCAAACCGTACTTAATGGTAGGCGGTCGTTTGATTTCTACATACATTTATTTCGGACAACAATTTCATTCTTCTTTTTGGCATTTTCTTTCATCAAAAAGTACCTTTGTCATCCCACTGTAAATGTACATGTATCTAAGCCAAACTGAAATTTGAGGATAGTAACCAAAAAAAAAAAATTTAAGTATACTTGCAAAATCGAGTTTTGTTTCACTTGATAATACAAGTAAACATGTAAATCATATTTTTATTAGATAAGATATGATAAATGAATTTTATTAGATAAAATATGATAAATGAATTTTTTGCAGAACTTAACTATTGAAATCAATTGAAAAATAGATTTTTATGTGAAACTAACATTGAATTATAGCTATAGATGTATAGGGTAAGAACTTGTCCATTCACTTTATGAAATGTTTCCATTGTTACGTTTATTATGAGTAAACTGATTGAAATACCTTCATTGTTTCTTTCCTTTCTGTGAGAAAAATAAATTCATTATAAGATCAGCAACAAAGTTAAGTATTACTAATATTCTCAATGCACACAAAAACTCTGACCCTCTGCACTGAAGTACTACAAATGGTGGCGTTGAGTAATATTTAGCCATATTGCACTTTCATTTGAAACCCAAAGAGCAGTCGGTAATTTATAATCATTTCTATATATGACTTCACACTAAGATTTCCGCAAACCTGAGTCGGGTTATCCGCGGCTAAGCATAAGCTGTTCATGCATAACAGGGCAATATTTTGCAATGAGAATAATTTAGATTCAATGAGCTTTTGTTGCAAAGCACTTTCACTTCGGATAATAACCAATTTAAAAAATGCAAAACACAAAACCAATTTTTAAAAAAAAAAATGTCTTTCTTTAACATTCAAAATACCTGTATCGATTCCAGACATTATTGTAAAATTAATATGTTAATGATATTCTGATAGTACTTCCCGTGAATTTTTTTCTTCTTCACCGAATACATGTAGTTTATTTGACTCCTGAAATTTAGTAAGTGTAAAAAAATAATCATGATTTTTACAGAACGGATTATAAGATCTGACATATCATACGAGTATCGCATGATTAAACAGGGACTCAATGTGCTCAAGATTGGTTATATATAATTCCTTTGTTGTTTTAATATGGCTTGAATATAAGCAATATTTCTCAAATTTGCAAAATATACTATACGTCACTTTGCTACGAGTTCATAGTCAGTAAGTGATTAGAACGAGCACAACAACAACTACAAAAAAAACAACACACACACATATGCACACAAAAAGCGGCTTAAAAACACACATGTATTTTACGCTAATTTTTTTTTATGTATTTATATTTCTCTGAATATTATAAAGTCATCAACCTTTTTTTTACAAACAAACAACATGCTACATGTAACGTTTGTCTGCTCCTTTTAACTGCTTAATAAAAGTTATGAATTTCGAGCCCGATCAATTCAATTTCGTCTAACAGCGGGATCCAGTAAATAGGCCTAAGTGAAGACGTCTCTCTTTAGCCATTAATCGGGGTGTTGTAGACAATGTTTCGCTTTTGTGTGCGACAGCAAATTAATTTACAATTTTTATTCAAACGTCAATAAACTGTAATTCGCGTTCAGCCAGTGCGAGCACCCTCTCCACGGGCAGTCATTTCCCTTTTGTCCTCACTCAATTGCCCGCCCCGTCTCTCAATTCTTGATTTGAGCTTCTGGAGAGTGGTTACCTTGTTCGACAGCTTCAACATTGCTTTGTCAATTCCCAGTCGTGCCTTACAATTCTTTTGTGTAGTGTAATACTCCTGGATTTTGACAAATTACCAGAAAGAAAAGAACAAATCGGACGCTTTCTGCACTGGACTTGTATAGACTTCTCATTAATACTTAAGCTTTATCATAGCATCAGATAATTAGGGTATTACCCATAATATATAACAATGCTTAGTTGTTGATGTTAATATTTTTTATATTTATTTTGTTGTTTATATGAAATACATTTCCTGACTCATAATTTTGATTACGTGAGGTATAGTAACCAAAATACATAGTAAAATATAATACTTTCCGTCAAAATATAAGAAACTAAAAGTTCCTATATAATGTGATCATAACGTTGATTGTTTAGAAGAAGACAATAGTCAGACTGTATCACGTGTACATGTAAATGTTTCGAGTTAAAACCAGACACCCCAAGTAGTATTGAAAGAGGGAGTAGCAATTAAACTTGTTTAAAATACTAGTTTATATCGGGAAAAATATTTGAAATAAAAATCTTCGTTGCGACTTTTTTTGTAGCATCATATTTAATTTTAAAATACCCCCCTTTTTTTTAATCCTAAACAAAATTCAAACAGTTCAAAATTACTAGAACAATTTCGGATGTTGTTAAGCTTAATAATTTGAAAGGACATCCGCTCTTGAAAAAGAATACATCGTCAGATGGTTGGCCAGAGGGCATCAAGATTCAGTCTCTTATACTAGTTCCAACGAAGGACGAGTGTAACACATATGCTAATTTTCATCAAACAAAACATGTCTCCCCTTTCTGTTAACAATACGAAAAATTAAATAGAAAAAGCACTTAATTTGTATCTTAACAAATAAATTCGTACAAGAACTTCCGATAAAACTTTGTTCCACAGTAACATTCATTATTAAGATATTCAATTTTGTTTAAATCGTGAAAATACTTGAGTAAATGGTCGCTTATTTGTTTTTAAAACATAAGTAGAGTAGAAGTGACATTGTCACTGCATTATCATTAATGTTAAATACAAGTCTTTTGTATGAATCAGTTTATTTGTTCAAAACCAAAGAGACTGATAATTTGAAACTGATATTCTCTTATCCTATAATGCATGCATAACTCAAAAAACAAAATCAAATAAGAATAATATATATGTTTCTTTGATTTACACCATCTGAGAACACAGTTTACTCTGGTGTCTAATCATAAAAGACTCTTGACAATCATTTTGTCGGTTTCGGATTTCACAAGGCAGAACTGTTATGTGGCATCAAGAGCACAAATTTAACATGCGGAAACCTCTTTAATTTTTAACAAAACTCTTTTGGAAATAACGACATATCCGGCACAAGGATTATAACCAACAATTTATTTCTTTGTCTAAAGGTGGGACATCAGGCATTTGCATAAAAATAATCGTAGCCTTCTAAGTTGTAATAATCTGCCAGCCTAAATTCAAACAACGACTGTAAACTGAACTGTCTCAGCGTTTGGCCTGACCAGGTTCGAAGTTAAAGAAGACACCCTACATTTTATATTCTGCACTGTATACGTTAAGTATTTGTTTGCATTCTTTCAATTGTTACATGGAAGAATCGTACATATATATAATAAAATTATTCATCAGTCTTTTAAATATATGTATCATCAAAGGATTTGTAATCGCTGCTTTCAAATCGACAGTGTTCAAGATTTTCTTAATATGTTTTTAGTAGGGTAGATATCGAAGTTGTTTGTAATATAGTAAAAAATATAATTTACGAAGAATATAGGGAAAATATTAAACGAGGAATTTACCTAATACCCACATCCATTAATATTTCTATTGTGAAAACTGATTCGAAGGTTTATCCAAACAATTTGTAGCTGTAAGAAATGAAAAAGTCTTCGTGCTTTACACATCAATAAGTCACACAAAACTATAACAAAAAATGTTTAAAAACTATGCATGAATTTCTTTTTAATTGTATGAACAATCAAACTTGCAAAATTTACAAATTACAAAATTGTAACACTGAGCCAGTCGTATATCTAATATTTTTTCAAGTTTTACCTAGCTCTGATGTTAACTATGAACTATCTTTATAAATAATACAATAAAAACGGTATAATTCACTTCTGACTGAACAAAAATACACTCTTGTCTTGCTCGTCTTGTATTCAAACTTTTAGAAAATATAAATAAATATTATACTCATATATGACTAAAGACTTTAAGAAAATATAAAGAAATATTATTATACACTTTTTGGTTGCAAGTTATACATGTCTTCAAAATCTCTCCTATAGTAGAGTGTGTCATTTACAGTTAAATCAGTGTAGATCATTGCATGTTATGTGAGCAGGTGGCAGACCTGTCAAATAAAAGAGAGAATTATTCTCAGCTAATTGGCACGGATATTAATTTATAATTGCACCAAATAGTTCCAGAATTGAAAGCTACACAGAAATACGAACGTCTGTAAGCGACTCGTATAAAATGAAAGCTTTGCTAATAAATGGAACAAAACTAAAGGCACGAAGCCGAGAGGGGGCGTGGTTGTGCGTAATAATTATTTTGCTCAGATACGCAGTTGACTGTTAACAAAATTCAAAATTTCATTAAGACATCATTTTGGTATTCATAGTTCTCTGTTTGGAGACGAAGTGGAATTCATCATAATTTTTAGGTTAACAATAGCTTTAAATCTTTATGATCAAATTGCATTGGTGTCGCATATGTGTTATAATTGAAGGATAAGGTTAAAACGGGTGCATAGAAAAGTATGACTGATATGGTAAATACGAACAAGGTTTGCCAGTTTGATCTGATTTACAACGAGCTGATAATTGATTACAGGGGAGTAAATACTAGATATAGAAACACTAATGTTCCCCCTTTTCCTGTCATTCATACCCCAAACCAGA